GGCCTTGCCTTGCATTGGCTCAAAGCAAGCTTGCACTGAAAATATGCCAAACCCCAGCGCATGACATCACTACCCGAACTGCGGCTGCGCTAGCGAGAGGTGATCCCCTGCCATCTGTGCTCTGGAATGTGCTCCTACTGGCCACGGTCCCTGTGGCTTGGGCACATGCCCCTGGCGTTACCGGAGCGAATGGCCCGGGCGGCGGATGTTATCCTGCTGGGTCCGCCCAGCGCTGGACTGATTCGTTCTCGGGGCACGGTAGGGAGACAAGAGAGCACTCTCTCCCCACCTTTAGCGTTCAGTGTGAGCAAGTACCGTGACGGGGGGTTTGTTTCCAGCACTGCGACGTTGTGCTGTTCATCCGCCGAGGCGCGGAGTGGCCCTGAAGCCACGTCAAGCCATCCATCACTGGCCCAGACGAACACATTCGCGGCCTGTCGCCTCCCCCAGCATGATCTTTGCGCACAGCCACATTTGAGGATTCGTCACCATGGTCTGGGGCGTCTGGGGCGCCGTCTCATCTTCACACCGATCCAATGCCCCACCTCAATCGCCAGGTCTTACTTGTACACTTCACTGCTGCATCCGACATTATCGCATACGCAAGCCAAGCGTCTTGGTCGGAAGTGCTATCTAAAGCCACAAGGCGGTTCCGCTCGATGGGCGACCGATCTTGCTGGAGCTTGCAACCTTACCCCAGACGCCACATGTCATTCTCAGAAATTGCACGTTTTTCCTAGGTACGGTGCCTTAGCCATGGCCCTTTCCAATAAGCCTGTCAGTACTTCAGCGTAGTACGTTGGAGCATTGCACCAAAGAACCAATAGGTGCTGAATTACTCCTGCTCCTGGGTCTGGACCGTCTCCGATTAGGCCTGCTGCGACGGACTGGAGTGAAGGCGGCGGTCGCGCCACAACGCGTGACGGACAATTTCCTAGGAGAGATCAGTCACATCATGGGATGCAGTCTCACGCAAATCAAGATTTCCCGAGGCCGGCCTATCATATTTCATCCTCATGCCTTTCATTGCTGCACCAGTAGTACCATGTCGCGAGCCGTGTGACGACCCGCTGGTTTCCAAAACAAGATCCAGATGCCGTTGCCCAAGTCGCGCGAGACATCGCTGCCAAACCCCACCCGTCTCTGTCATACCTAGTGCAACCCCTTTCCCTTCTGCCGTCCCACCCGCCTTGGCTGGGTCGCTCAACCGCAGCCGCTACTGCCAGTCATGTCAAATGTACCATCATTCGTGAAAAGTCATGAGCCCGAGTGTCGCTTGAACGACTCTGGCTTGGTCACACCGAAGCTGTCACATGCCGGGGGGCCTTGGTGTCAGATCGGTGGCGATCTGCCTGGTGACGTGCTGTAAATCGATACGCCTCTGAGTCCGCGGCGTACCATACCACAGCCTTACGACAGTGACAGTCCCTCTAGGTTGAGGCTGAGGACGTCTAGCTGCATCGCAGCCTCGTTGCCTAGCCCCTGGTCATCTATCTCGCCTTTGTCGATAGCCTCGCGGAGCTTCTTGGCAGTCTGCAACAACGGCTCGACGTAGCGCTGCTCAATGGCAGCGCCCATGCCAGCGGGAACGAGATGCTTGAAATCCTCTCCCTTAAACAAAAAGTATAAGAAGTTGGCCACCTGGAGGTGATACGGGTGGTTTTGTGCCCAGAAATCCCACTGCGAGACGACGTCCTGTTCCTTGAGTTGCGCCAGACTGGGGAACAAGAGGTACTGAAGCGTGTCCAGCGCTTCAGGCCCTGAGAAGGCGTTTGTTGCTTTCGTCTTCTGTGCGATTATGATTTCTTCCCTGAGCCACGAAACCGCCGATGCCTGCAAAGCCGAGAAGATGCAGTTCTCGAGGAGATCCTCGAGTATCTTGAGTCGTCCTTCGTCGTCTGGATCGGCGTGCAATACGAGGCCCGCCAACGTGTTTGCTACGTTGCGAGAGTTCAACGACGGGTGGAAGGCGGCGATAATGGTGAGAAGATGGTGGTAGGGCATAAAGTCGGCTGGCGTCGCCCCTTGCCCGGAGATGCGTTTGGCGTTGTCGAGCCAGAGGCCCATGACGAGGAGGGCTTCGGCAGTGCCCTGATTGCTGCTGATCTGCTCCTGGGGTTCGTCGCCGACGAAGAGCTGGAGTAGCTTGTGGTGATCTGGCAGCATGGTCATCTGGATTTGGTCGTGGTTCGTTTCGAAGACCTCCGACGAGAATAGCCAGTATGCTACGAGGCACCACACGCCTCCTGTGGAGAGCTTAACCTTGCTTGGACTGTCCAGATCATCCAGGTCGGCAGCCAAAGGATTGACGATCAGAGGTTCCTCGAAGACTGCTTCGAGCGAAAGAGACTGGATTCCCGTGAGGCCCAAGTCTCTGGCGACGCCCTAAGAAGTGGTCAGCGGGAGACTTCGAAGAGTAGGGTGTTACCCTTACTGCGAGCTGTCCGATCAAAGCGTCACGTTGCAACAATTCTTCGGTCTCTTTGAAGGCTTTCATGATGCTCCTCCTAGCGACAATCCTCTCCGGGTTGTAATACTCCAGAAGTCTGGACGCCCATTCTAAATTGTTGCTGTTGACGTACGCCTCAATGATGGTGATCATGAATGATTGGAGAAGCCTCTTCACCAGGTCTGGCTCGGATGGTGCAGTCTCGTCCGTCTTCTCAGCCTCTGGATCGGGCGCGTTCTTGCTCGCGTCGGACTTTCCAAAGGTAGTGTCGAGTGCGGTGCTGGACTTGCGCGTAGGGAGCGGCGGTCGCTTCTCTGCAGTCTGGGAGCGCACAAAGGTGATGATAGCAGCCGTGGCCTCTGGGCTGTCGGGTCGGTAGGCACGATAGATAGCTTGCAGCGTCGAGTGTAAGAAGCGCGAGGGGTATTTGACCGACAATCGCTTGTGAAGGATCCCGAGCATGCCCAGGAGGGTCACAAACTTGTTTGCTGAGGTCCTATCACTAGTATCATCACCATCGCCACTGAGATCACCCAGGACCTCGAGTATCTTGATGATGACCTCGCGCGGGTTGCCCAGTTGCGCAATCGTCTGTAGGCACTGCTCGCTTCCTTCCACGGCTATCAAGACCTCGACCAAGTCCCAGCCAATCTCTTGTGTGAGCTTGGCATCTTGAAGAATTTCATGTAGTGTCGGGAGGACTTCGGGAGAGATGACCTCGCCGATGATTGTGAGATATGTGAATGGATCGGTAGCCGGGGGCTTGGACTCTTTCAGGGCGTCGATGGGATTCTTGTCGGATGCCATTGTTGAGATGGATCAGCTCATCGGTTTGAAGTCGGAGTTGAATCGCAGTTCGGTCAGTGTCAGCATGCACAGTAGGATTCCTAACGAGCGAGGTACTGAGAACGGGCAGGGTTCTATTGCGAGGAGGCTACCGAAAGCTGGGCGCGTGAACGAGGGGAGGGGAGTTTCGTCATCGTACTCCCCCCCGTTGAGAGCCCCGCCCCGCCGTTTAGATGCGGCACAGCTCAAGGTCTAGAACATGAGTCCCCCGCACTAGCAATTAAAGGGTCGCATGCCCCGCAGTAGCTTTGCCCATCGCTAAGCAGATATCTTATCGAACAAGGTGTGACCTTATCAGCCAGGTCTCCAATGTTTGGGCCACCTGATGACAATCCCAGCTTGAACTTGATCATTCCCGACTCCTGGTCATTTTCCTTGTTTCGCCATTTACTGACTGTTGATCATGATCACAAAGCAAAAAAGCAAATAGCGTGGTGCACACAACTCATGAACTAATGCCAGGCACGTTTGAAATTCGGCGATCCAAATCCAATGAACCGCATTCAGGAAATCTGGCTGCTGAAAGACTTTCAGTTCTTCGAGTCCTCAAAATGCTTCACTAGTCATAGTTGACCATCAAAGCTGAACAAGCATAGGCAACAGACCAGGCCAAGGCGCGCATCGTCAGACTCTTTCAGCTTTATGGCGATGTAGAGACGTCCGCGGCACGTCGGCAGCTTCGGCAACGCCGAGGACATCAAGTAAGGCTCTCGTCTTCGTCCCAACGGCGCATTCTTCATGCACGTTACCCCTGAAATCCGCCTCCTCGGACACCGTAACAGCTGGTAGCAGCTGAGACATCTCACATCCCTGGGACTCGCGATGAAGATCACACCGATCCCCCCCAATAAGAACATTCTTTTGGACCCTGCCTCACCGTCGAGCGGTTCAGCCACAGCCAATCTCGCGTACCAAGTACCAGGTAAGCTGAGAAACCCGGCTCCTCGCACGGGGTAGGCGAGTTGTCGGTCGTCAGGCGTCACCGACCAATGAATCCTTCTCGATGCCCGACGAGGCACGGGTAACGGTTGTGCAGTAGCGCCTTGGAGGGTGCGACATAGCCATCCCCAGGCCTCCCTTGTAGCCACCGCAGGCGAAAATAACAGCTTTGCCACTTTACGTTCACCAGGAAATCGGGAGAGGGGCGTCGATTTTCGGGGCGACAGGTCGGGCAACGAGTGAACATGGTCAAGCCAGACATGAACGTACGACGTCAGTGCCCTCCATTGAGTAAGAAGCAGACGACTCGTCCGAGACCCCCAAGACTCAAAGCAACTTCGATGAGAATGTTCCAGATTAGCTTCTCGCTGGGGTCGTATCACGGGCGACGTGGGTCGATTGACATCAGCAGCGAGAATAGCCACCCCTCCCCCCGACATGTCGTGTAAGCTCATCAGCGACAGACCAGTGCCAAGGTGTTTATTTGAAGCTGTGGCCGGCCGCGGAAACGTCGACCGGGAACCTGGATTGATTAGAAGAGGCTTGAAATGGCGCGGGCAATCCACTTAATCTCCAATACAACCCCTTTCCAGCAATCCGCCTGGAGCTCAAGTAGAGGCCTCCCTCACTCTTTGTTGCATCCAGCGTATCATCGCAAGCTTGGTCCTCTGAAGTTTTATTCGATCAGACGGAAGATATTACTTATAGCACACGGTCTGCAGCCCCATTCTCGGGTCCGCAAGGTGCATGACCTCAACGCCACGCCATGGTCGATTCAACCCCTCCAGCTCATGAGGTGCCCGCCATGCCTAGTGGGTTAAAGGTCGGGAAACCAAACTACATCATATTCATGCCTGATCAGCTCCGTTACGATTCTCTAGGCTGCAGTGGGAACAAGGTACGTTGGGTGACGCACTTCGTCTGGCCTGAGCTCACATCCGCACCACAAAGTACGTCAAAACGCCCAACATTGACAAATTCGCCGCCGAAGGGACGCGATTTACGAACTGCTTCGTGCAGGCTTCGGTTTGTGCCCAGTCGCGGTGCAGCATCTTCACTGGCAACTACAGCCACGTTGCCGGCCACCGCTCGCTTGAGAATCTCATCAAGCCCTGGGAACCCAACCTGTTCAGGTCGCTCAAAGAACGAGGCGGGTACCACGTAGCTTGCCTAGCGCCACGCGGAGATATGTTTGCGCCAACAGTCACCGAGCTCTCTGTCGACGAGTATGGCTTTCTCGAGACGCCAGAGTTCACGTCACGCTGGGGCTCGTTCAAGGACGATGACGGCAACAAAGAAGACATCTTCAAGCGGCTCTTCTATCGTGGTCTTCGGGACGCGAAGGAAGCAGAAGACTATGACGACGCCGTTGTGCGTTCTGCGCTCAAGTGGCTGGAAAAGCCTCCCGAGGGCCCCTGGTTGTTGTTCATGCCGTTGATGTTCCCCCATTTGCCGTTCATGGTGGAAGAACCGTACTTTTCCATGTACGATCGCAGTGAGATGCCGCCACCCAGCAGCCCAGAGGATAAGGTCAGTATCGCCGCGGCGGCAGCCCTGTCACCGTCGCTAATAGACCTTCCAGACTGGTCACGAGCCACAATACATGAAGATCATCCGTGAAAAATACGGGACGAGTCGCGCAACGCCCGAGATTTGGGCCGAGATAAAGGCGACCTACTACGGCATGATATCTCGTCTTGACGATCAATTTGGCAAATTGATGGAGAAGACGAAAGCTCTTGGCCACTGGGACAACACGATTACCATGTTTTTCACAGACCATGGCGAGTACCTCGGCGACCATGGACTTGTGGAGAAGTGGCCCTCGGGCGTGTCCGACAGTCTCACACATGAGCCCTTGATTGTTGGAGGCTGTGGTCTGCCGAGTGGTGTCGTGTACGAGGGCATGGCGGAGATGGTCGACCTGATGCCAACCTTGTTCCAATTCAGCGGAATACCAGAGCACTTTCCACATTGTGGGCGATCCATGGCGGAACTTCTCACCTCCGCAGCCAGGAGCGGCGGTCACGGTGACGACGAATCGTCTGTAGAACATAAAAAGTACGCTTTCTCTGAAGGGGGCTTCCTCTCAAGCGAGGAACCTCTTTTGGAGCGGGCTGGCTACCCCTACGACATTAAAGCGGCACTCCAACACGACGACACGGAAGTAGTGGGAAGAGCCGTAGCTTGTCGGGACAGGAAATGGACATACATCTATCGGTTGTATGAACCACCCGAGCTGTACGATCGAGAGAGGGATGTGGGCGAGCTCCACAACTTGGCGGAGGAAGCTGAGTATGTCGAGGTGAGGCGAAAGATGGAGGCGGTCATTCTGCGGTGGATGATGAGCACCAGCGACTTTGTGCCATGGAAGAAAGACCCCAGGTTTCCAGAAGTGCTCGCAGGGAAAACGCCGAAAGAGCAGTGGGAAGCAAGAACTGCGCGGTAAGATGATGTGCTCACCTTCCCCACCTTGCCTCAGTAGGTGCGTAGCTTGATAGATGAAGCATCTCAATTTGAGGTCAACACGGGATGGTTGCCCCACATCGGGCGAACCTGAAGGGCCGGTCCCCAGGTGTGATCGGCCTCTGTCCTCCGGCGTCCTGGATCCTGAGCCGGGCGAACAAGGGCTTGTGGCATTTGTCAGGAGAAGAGAGACATAGACAGACAATATCGGCACAGATCACTTTTACCGCACCACCTAAAAACCATGGTCATTTGGCACTTCGCTAGCTAGAGGGACAGAACGATCAGGCCCCTCCCCCACACCATTTGAGGATCTGATGTAACAAATCTGATACATGCACGGCCCCAAACACGGATTCAAACGTCTTGGCCCGGCTGCAAGACCCAGAATACTCTGCTCCGAATTCACTACACGTTGGGCACGCACAGCTGACTGCCGCTTCGTCAAACACAGTCGTGGCCAAGGATGGACGATTGAATCATGATGAACCCCTGAACCATGGCCTTGGCATCTGAGAGCTTCAAACGTTTTCTGGACCAAGGGTCCATTCAGGAGCTTCCCAAGCGGAACCTCAAGCTCCTCAGTGCTTGACGATATATGCCCATAGTCCAGTCGTTTCCGGGATTCTGGGCTGTACTTCTATCCCATCTATCTATTTGCCATCACTGGTCTGACCACATCAGCTCATCATGAAGTCCCAATTGCTGTTCCCCTTCTACGTTGTCACCTCACAAGCAGTACGAGAGTCGATATCGAACAAACCTGATACGGCCAGTGGTGTGTGTCTCTCTTCGCAGCTCCTCGCCGCCCATGAGCCTCTTCCAATCTGCACAACACGCCATGCCACCGTCGCTTCAGACAAGCAGCAATTATCGTCTGAAAAGGTACTCGGAGGCGCCGAAGATGTTGGCTCCAACCCCTGGTCGCAGACCCCGACCAACTGCTATCATAATTCAACCTTGAACTCCGACTTTTGCGTCTATACCTCTTCCCGCGTCGCCAATGGCAAAGGCACGGCCATAATCACAGACAACCTGCGCGCCGCGCACCTCGCCCGCGCCGTGGCCCTCCTCGCCGACGCGACCGACGACCCTCTCGTCCACGCGGGCTCCCACAAGCCCATCAATGTCCAGAACGCAAAGTACAAAATCGTGCCCATCCCTGGCAAGGATCTCGGCGCCGTGGCCACGGAGCGCATCGTCCGCGGCGAGATTATCCTTCAGGAGACCGTTTCACTGCTCATTGATTACGCCGCCTTTGGAGCCGTGCCGCGGGACGAGATGCGCAGGCTGCAGGGTGACGCCATCCGGGGGCTGCCGACGCGGCATCGCGATCGGTTCATGGAGATGTCGCCCGGCGTGCATGGCGGAGACGTCGGGTTCGACGAGCTCGTGGAGCGCGTCATGGCGACGAATTCCTTCGATGTCGATACGGACGACGGCGTTCGCGACGATGAGTTCTTCGCCGCCTTTGTTGAGAGTAAGTGGGATTGCCCTAGGCCTAGAAAGCCTAGTGAGCCGAGCACCTCCCCCCCTTTTGATGCGTCCGAGTTTTGTCCTAACACCACTTGAAGCCGCGCGGATGAATCACGACTGCCGCCCCAACGTCGACTACCGCTTCGACCCCTCCACGCTGACCCAGCGCACCACGGCCATTCGCGACATTCTGCCAGGCGAGGAGCTCACCCTCTCCTACATCGAGTAAGACCACCACTCTGCATCCTCTCGTACCCAAGAGAAAGAGAAGGACAACGCCATGCTAACGCCCGCCAAGCCCGCTCCAGGCCCGCGACGCCCGCCGCGCTCGTCTCCGCGCAAACTGGGGCTTCGACTGCACGTGTCCGGTCTGCACGCTCCCCCACCCGCACACCGTGGCCTCGGACGAGCGCATCGCGCAAATGGCGTCCCTGCGCGCCGAGCTCGCCGACTACCGGGCGTCGTCGCGCGCGACCCCGGCCATGGCCGAGTTGCTCGTCAGCCTCTACGAGCAGGAGCGCGTCTGGGGAACCCTGGCCGAGGGGTACACGCTCGCGGCCATTGAGTGGAACGGCGTCGGGGACGCATGGGCGGCGACGCGGTACGCCAGGCTGGCCATCGAGCACGGCATCGCGAGCCAGTGGGAGGGGCACGGGGATGTGGTGCAGATGAAGATGCTAGCCGAGGATCCCTGGGGCCACTGGAGCTGGATGCTGAGAACGAGGAAGAGGATGGGGTGGGGCCAAGGGAGAGCCGACGAGGGAGATGACGAGGAGAGCGATGAAGAGTGATCGTGTGACATGGGATCTTGAAACTGTGGGAAATATCTAGTGCCGTCAGTGTCAGTCAGCAAAACCTCCAACAAGTGCTCTCAGCCCGTTTACGTGATCGTGGCAATTGGCGCGCACTGTAACATCCACAGTGGTAGCAAACAGCCGTCATCACAGAGCCGGGCATTCGTTGTAAAAGTAGACAACACCAAATACCAACAAAGCAGAGAAGCCGAAGCACAGTCAATTGTTGAGGTAATTATACAGCACGAGAATGTACAAGTATTCTACAGCCCAACATGCGGCCCCACCCCCATCATCACTGTCTCCAGTGCTGGATGTAAATACCCAGAGAAGAAAATCGTGAAAAAAGGGAGGCGGCCATGCAGATATATACGTGGTCGAGCGCCGCGTCCCATGCCTGGATTGAACAGCCCCTATGAATCTCGCTCGCGCCGCACGTGATTTAACTCCGTCGTCGTCGTGCAGGGGTAGTAAGTAGAGAGAAAGGCTATGTGTTTGTGCAAGTCGTGGGCGAAGAGGGTATATATGTAAGAGAGCCTTTTGTACGTGTCGTTGAAAAAACGCCATGCCGGGGGTGGAGAACGCAGAGAGAATGGGCTTTGTGCAGGGTTGGTCGGTTGATCTCTGTTAGGAGAGGAGTAGACTGCTTGGGGTTCAGCGGTACTCCTTCTCCTTCAAGCCGCCGATCTGGTCCATATCAATGGAGTAGAACTGCGACTTGTTCTCCTTCTCGTAGGCAGGCAGCTGCTCTTCGCGAACGGGCTCCAGGCCGACAACGCCGCCATCACCGACGCGGACGACAAGGACGCGGCCATTCTTGCGCTGGCCGGCTTCGTCCTGCTCATCAGGGAAAGTGATGTGAATCTCAGGAACGTTGTCGGGAGAGTAAGGGGGCGAGTTGGGGTTTGACAGCATGGGCTGGCCGTCCTTGCTGATAACGAGCACGGAGGAGCGACCGTTCTGCGTCGTCTTGATGGTGAGATTCTGGTGGTTGCGCACACCCTTGACTTCATGGTAGTCAGGGAGCATCTCGGCGCGGGCCATTGATTGCCGTTTCCTGCGGATAATGAAGAGGACCATGGCCAGGAGCAGGCCAACGAAAACGAGTCCGAGGACAATGATCATGTAATCAAGGACATTGTCGCCAGCGCCGGTGGCGACGTCCTGATCCTCGCGCTCGCCAATGAGGCTGCGGACCTTGAGGTTGTGAATAGAAGGCATCGTAAGTCGTGTGTGTTCAGTGTTTGTTGTTTGTCGTGAGAAGGAGCGGGGGATCAACTATGTGTGCAGTTGAGGTGTGGGTTTCCTTGGCGGAGTGGTTCAAGATAGCTTTGTCGTTGAAGGAGTGAATTAGACAATTATCAAAAAAGGCTGGTGTCTGCACATTCAACTATTAGCATCGTGGTGGCGCCATGACGACTCTGGACGGGGCGCTGGGCAGGTCGGGAATGGCTTCAAGCGTCGAGGCTGGCACTGAATATCGAGCATCTCGTTCCAATGTCGAAAAATAGCCTCCTCCAGAAATAGCGTGACCTGCCCACCTGCCCTCTGTAGAGAGCAATGTCTTGTCGATAGTAAGGGGCGGACATACGTAAGGGATGGGCCGGCATTAATCGACGAGAAATATGTACGTGTTTCTCGAGTCGTGCAGAGGCTGGGGTGGGCTGGAAAGAAGGGACGGAAATCGACTAAATGAGTGAAGTCGAAAATCCAAGAGGTTGGAGGGGGGTTATTAGGGAATGGCGAGGGATAAACCCAAAAGACACCAGGTGATACTGTCGATGATGCGACTGCGACTTCGACGACGACAACGACAACGACAATCGACGGCGATGGTAAAGAGCGACGGGAGGAGAGGAGAGGAAGCGAAGGGAGCGAGGGAAAGGGCGGCGCTGGGGATAAGCAGAGAGAAGAAGGAGCAACGAGGCAATCACGGTGCAGGGAAGGTGGACATCAGTGGAGGTGGGCCGGGGTCAGGGGAAATGACCTGCGCCTGCTCTGGAAGCCAAGCTGGGCAACGGGATGCAGGGGAAGAAGGCGCGAGGGCCCTCTCATTGGCCACAGGTCACCAGGAGCCTGGGCTCTTTGGTGGGCCAGTGATGACCCAGGCTTGCCAGGCGACCAGGGCGGGAACAAGGCGACTTCGGATTCGAGGGTACAGGCTTGCGCGAGCGTTTGCAATTTCGACTAAGTACCCAATCAACGTGCCGTGGGCCTCGAGTTGGTGGAGAGGTGAGGGGCGCTGAGGTCGAAACGCCAGTCGTCTATTGGCCTGTCAGATAAGCTCGCTGATGAATGCCCTGCAACAGGTGGCCTGTGTGCTGCGGCCTGTGGGTTGGCCTACGTGCTGTGCGGCAGTGCACTGGCCTCAGCGGCGCCTTGCTCGCTCTCACGGAATGTCTAGGCCTCGATCAGAGCAGGATTGCTGGGCAAGACCGATGATGGCGCGATGGAGCCTCATCAAACTGTCCGGTCCAAGATCCGGCATTTCACCGCCTCCATCAACCCCTTTCTTGCTCGTCGATCTCCCTCCTTCACTGCACTGTCCATAGTGACCCAAAGCACGAGATGACAAGGCATTGAAATAACGACCCATCTCTATCGTCAGTCATCGATATCGATAACGGGAGGGCATCAGCATGAAGCATTCATTTCAGGCCCCTACGTTGCCTACCTAAGTACCTAGAAACAGTACCTAGTCTTGTACATGTAGGCAATCGGCACGGCTGTGCACACGAGCAACAGGGGGGCATGACAGCGCTTCGCGTTCATCGTGACTGGCAAGACGCCGTGCCCGCTTGGGCTTTGCGCCGTAGTCGTTCCGGCGACTCGCCCACGACATCCGACCGTTTGCTGCCGTGGAGCTCTCACCTCAACCTATCTCACGCCACACGCACCCAAAGTACGCTGCTGGTAAGATGATGTGGTGGCTGCATCACAGCGTCCACAAACCGCTCGGCGACTTCAATAATGACTTCGGAAGTGTTCTGCTTCTCAAGGTACCGCCTCCGCAGCTCAAAGCCACTAGGAGGGGTTCCATGCAGCCGTCGCCCCTCTGCCGAAGTTTTGTCGGCCTGTAACCATTGTCAACAGGCCCATCTTCTTAAGGAACTTCTTCACGTGTTCATGTTGGCCCTGTCACGCCACCGAATGACTAGGCGACTTCCAATGTCGACGCTTCTGTCCACCGATTAATATTTCTTGGAAACCCACAACAGGCGGTGAACTTTACCTGGGACGGCATTGGCAAACTGATGGCTTATTGTCCTACAGTATCACGTAAAAGAAAAAAAAAAGAAAAAAGGTGACTGAGACCAGCGCCTCTGACGCCTCTGCCTGCACGCACTGGTGGTTGCCTTTCTTCACCCTGCGTGAGCGAACCTTAACTATCTACTGTACAAACCTACGTATGTAGGCATCTGACCTTGTCAGACGGGACCCAACGTGTCCTCCCCAAAAGCCTGACACCTTGATCGCTTGTTACAGGGCGTATCCGCATGGAACACACTTTGCTGGCTGCTTCCTAGTCATAATAGAGAGAGGTATGACAATATCACGCACGAACTGGAACTGGTGCTAGCCAGCATGCCCTTCTGTATGCATTGAGAAGTTCCATGATAGCACTCGTGGGACGATGGTGCTGTCCCATTGCATGAAGTCGCATCAGGAACACTGCCCAAAGTGGGATATTTGGCTCGTGAACGACAACAACCCACATTCTCCTTTTCTTCCTCCTCTCCTCGTCCTCCTCCTGCCGATGAAAACAAGGCTTGTGAATCAAGGGCTCTGTTTGGCGCAAATGCACAGCGGAGACACCGTCGCTACTGGCCGAGACCGCCAAAGCGAGTGCAGACAATATTGATTGGAGCTCCCTGAGGTCGTGCAGATTTTCATGCGTAGTACCGCCGACTTTCAAACCTGGAGATGTCTTGTACCCGCGTCTCAATAAGGACAGATGGGGCTCATAGGTGACTGACGGTGAACACGGGCAGCAAAGCAACAAGACTGAGCTGCCATGGGCATTGAAAGCGGAGGCAGAAAGCAAACACGATATGTCCTGGGTTAAGATGAGCTTTGTGCTGAGCGTGTCCTGTCAGCCATCCGTGAAGCGTTTTACAAACGGTTGTTTTATGCTCGTTTGATGGATGGATGGCGCGAAGCCCAGTCGGCCACGTGCAGCGTGTTCTGCGTTCGGCGGCACGAGCCAGCCTGTGGCGATGATCCCAGTTCTCAGAGGGTGAGGGCTGACGTGCTTCTTGACCCCCAGCCCAAAAGGCCGTTGCAGGAAAGGCAACGCGGCGTCGGGAAGCTGAAACACTGGAACAACGTCCCCCAGTGGGCCCGTCCGGGGTTGGACCTCGAGGAGAAGGTCTGCAGAGCGGGGGAGCTGACGGGGGCGCACGCGTGCGGGAAGACGTCGGGCCTTGCAAGGAAGATGGATCTGGGGTTCAATCTTTGGCACAAGTCGTTGTTTGATGATCTAGCAGTGGGCATGACGATGACGGGTTGCCCTAATAGCTGGTTGGCAGACTTTATCTACTACACACAGACCCGGTGCTGTTGCTACATGCTGCCGGCCGGTTGTGGGGTTGAGGCACGCAGATAACGGGGCACAGCAAGGGAAAGGAAGGGAGCAAGAAAGGGTTGCGAGCCTGCTGCATAGTTCTTGCGTTGCCTATAGGTAAGGTACCTAAAGGAGGTGCCTTCTACCCTACCTAGGCAAGCAGTAGCATCGAAGGGTGGTGTTGGTGTTGGGCACCTCCACCTAAGGCTGCTGAGAGCGAGCGGTTAGGGGGTTGGGGGCGTGCACGACCCCTGGCGCAGACCCTTGGGCTGGCTGCCTACCTAATTTAGGTAGTCAGGATGTTGGGGCCATTTTGACCTTGGCGTCACCCTCTCATCGTCCATTTTACGATGAGACCAGGCAGTCAGAGGAGCTGGGCGCTGATGGGTTTTTGGGGCAAAGATACTCCAGGTCCCGAGAACTGAGCACCAGTCCTAGCGATGACCAAACGACAGGCGTCGCCGCTGGCAATCACTTCATGTGTCACACACCAAACAGCGCACACCAAGAATGGTCGCGCGCAAGCGCGACGCAGACACGACATTACAGCATTCCAACTTGGGCCTCCCGCGTTTCCCCCTCTGGTATTGGCCGAAGCCTGAGGGCCACCCCTTGGTTGAGGAGGGGAAATAGTCGCTGCTCAAAGGGGGGAAAGAGGATCCAAATGTGGTCGACCATGCCTTTCGCTATGCCTGTTTGTTGTCTTTGCCTGTACGGGTTCCACTGGTACTGGTCCAAGTCGCCCTCGACCTCCTCCCTTGGGAGTAATTCCGTGCCTCGACGACGGCGCTCTGTCTTGGTACCTACCTATCCAGTGCTCACTCCCCCGCGGCACAAACAGAGAGGGGGCAACAGGCAGCTTTTGGGGGAAAGTACCGTGCATTGGTTGTAATCCGTAGCCGAGTCGAGGTCGGTCAAGGGCATACCTGAGTGATCTGTTGCGGAGGACAAGGTGCCTGGTGAGGCGAGACCCTCGACTAGGACGATGTCGATAGTCTCGTCAAGTGCTAGCCGTCTGGACCCGTCACGTCCCTCGATATCGTTCCCTCTGGCATGTCCCTTGTGGGCCTCATCTGCCATGGCACCCTTCCAAGCTCAGGTCAAGTTCGGTTCGTTCCCCCTTCACCAATACAAAACTGCGCTGGTCGGTACGCCTTTTGGTCAACGTTGCACCATCCATCCATCCGTCTAGATCATCACCCTGAAGTACACACGACAACGCGTCGGCCATCTTTTCTGTTCATATACCGCACATACAGTACAAGTACAGTATCTAAGTACCTGCGTTGTTGCTTGGCTTGCCATATAATCGACAATCCGGACCTTCTGTGCTCTCACGCCTGCGTCCTCTGTTGCAGGTGACACGAGCCGAGACGACGAAGTCACAGACCGAAAGACAGACACCAGCCCGACAAAAGGACCTTGCTGAAGTACAAAAAAGTTGCTTGCCTCGTTACCAGCGCTGCACGTTTCTGCCATTCTGTCCCTAGCCCGGTCTTTTCCCACCGAGTTACTCTCCAGACTCGGGCGAGAAAAGTGTATTCAGCATCGCCGCTGCCGCTATTTCTGCAATCCGTACTTTGCTCGCGCCTCACATATCGACCAGCTGGAATACACAAAAGGGGTCTGGGTTCCGTATTCGATCGACTCGTCCCTC